AAGATTTAAAGAAAGACAAGAAAGAAAGACAGGGCACAAAGATCAGTTCAAAGAAAAAAGCCACTAGTCGATGAATTCGTTCGTAATATCTTTTGAGTGGGACAAAACAAGTGAAGGAAAATTAAGTAAGTGCTTTTGCCACCAAAAATTTGTGGATAACATTTTCAGTGCGAAGAACCTAAAAGGGGAATAAAAATTTTTCTATAAATGAGCGATTAATAAATATAATGGAGCGTACCGTAAGAGGTTCTCCTATGTAATGATGCCAGGTTTCAGCACAGGGAATACGATGCAGGCGAGACACGCTCCCCGACGGAAGCAGAAAGTATATGCAAGTAGACACTGGGCGGTCAACTTTATCTAAAGGAACAAAAAAATGTAGAAACAGATAGAATTGAATGAAGGCGGTGAAACGGAGAAGGAAAAACAGAAAGATTGGTATGATTTTACAGAAATTAGAACGAGTGAGATAGGTTGAAGCACCTACATTCAGGTGGGAGCTGCGACTTGAGAAGTTGAACGGAGCCATCACGGAAAGTCTCGGCGAAGAATCCACCTTCAGGGTGAGGCTGCAGATTCAACTTCGCCGCGATCTCTGATGCCGATAGTGGCCCAGACTCCATTATTCTCTCGCCGAAGAGTTCAGGAATCAGGATCGTGTCCGGGAATAGCGGTGTTGGTCAAAAGAAGATTGCAGATGTGCGTGTTTTTCAACTCTACACACACCACACACATATATATAATTACATATGTGATTCGGTGGTGGCTGGTGTACAGTGTTTTTGGAGGCTAATCACTAATGTAATTTTAATATGACGACGTGAGTAGACAAACAATGCTTGCCTGGCTCAGCGTTTGAACTCTGCATTCTCCAATGGTCTTTTTCTAATCTTAAAAACTCTCTGTATCTTGAGAGATACTGTATTCATGTTTAAATTATTCAATTCTAATATAAAAATTAATTTAACTTTTAATTTCATTATAATATAAATTTTAACCTATTTTATTTCTCATATTTATTTTTTTTAAAATAATCTTTCTAATAGTTGTACATGTTAAAAATTTAATCAAATAATAGTTCTAATTAATTACATAATTATAGAGATTTTTTGAGAAAATAATATTTATTTATTATTATAAATAACTAATTTAACAGTTTTTTTAAATATTTAAATTACTTAACTAACTTTTATATTAAACACGAGAGGGAGGGTAGTAGTTATATGTGTGGACAAAACTGTCTGTATCGACTTGTGGTGATATTCATAGTATTGAATTATTTTTACCTCTATTTTTGGCTTTTTTATCCTTAAGTTCGCCCACATTTTTCGATACCTAAAAAGGAAAAAATAAATAAATCTGTTATCAGCAGTTAACTTATTTCTTAAAATTATTAAGTATAAGATATATTTAGTTTTGATCCAGTTTTCCTGTCTTTATTCAAAACTTTTGGAAGTTGAATATATATTAATTGAGAACAACTCGAATCACACCTAACATGTATAAGAAAATAAACTTTACAAAAAGGGTGGCGAACAGATGCAATCCATCAGGTCAAAAAAAAAAAAAAACAGATGCAATCCAAGGATTTGATGCAGAAACTGCGAAATCCTTGATTAATGAGAGGGAGACAAGGATTAAAGATGGGAGTTTTGAGGAAACAATTTCCCAATACAAGAAAAATGCTTCCCCCCACTTGTCTTCTACAAATTAGATTCGAAACATTGATTTTTCCCATAGGTACCACATTTCGCCTCTCTTCAATATATCCTCTGCTGCATCCATCTCTTTTACGTGAGTTCTCATGCATCAATGGCGTCCATATAACCTCCAGAAAGGCCAAGATATTCGTGCCTGTGAAGCCATGTTCCATCTTTCTCGCTCCCTCTCTACCTCTTTCTCTTTCTCTGCTGTTCTGTGCCTGCGTTAAATTGGTGGCTATGCCCTCCTCAAAAAAAAATCAATCATGAATGGCTGAACGTTTGATCATATATACAACCTCGCATGCCCCGCAAGCAAACCCAACTTGAAGAACTAAGCTATATTGACATGTGGACTTTTTAGACTTGTACTTCCTCTATCCTCCTAATGGCTTCATTTAAGTTAATTCGTTGCTCAGGGTTACTTTCGGTGCAAGCGGCTCCGACTTGGAGAATTTTCAGCATTTGATCTAAGGAGTTAGGGGTGTTTGCCATTTCAGGATCAATCACTTCTGCTTCTCTTCTCTCAGAAATTGCAGCGAGCACCCATTGCACGACGTCGGTGCCGCCCTTCCCGTTGCTATGATACTGAGAAGGGAATTTTCCGGTGAGGATCTCCAGGATGATGATTCCGAGGCAGTAGACGTCGACTTTCTGGGAAATTAGCTGGTGCTGAACGTAGTCTGGGGATTTGAAGGCGAATAATGCGTTGAAAGAATTGGGGTTGAGAAGCGGATGCAAGGCGTAATCAGAGAGGAGTGGCTCGTAATCTTGTGTGAGGAGGACATTGCTGGATTTCAAGTTGCCGTGGGGAAGATCGTAGGAAGAGAAGTGGGAATGAAGGAAGCGAAGACCTTGTGCAATTCCCTTGATTATCTTCAAACGCACGGGCCAGGTCAGATCAGCATGAGATGTTCCCCGATCACCTGAAACATAATGATCAAAGATTCTCGATCAAATGGGGTTACTATATATATATATATATGGAGGATCCTAAATGTAAGACCCTTATACTAGTATAAGGGTCTTACATTTAAGACCGGAGGAGTATATATATTGTTGAAATCCTGGTATGATCTGTTTGGTGCGTTTGAGTTGAGCTAGTACCATGCAAAACATATAACAAGCTGCCTCTGGGCATGTACTCTGAGATGATGAGCTTCTCTTCTTTGCGAAAGTGGTATGCCAAAATGGTCAAGATGTTTGCATGTTTAATTCTCCCAAAGCCTCTCATCTCGGCGTCGAAAAAATCTCTACCTATCTGATTTATCGCTCTCACCCTCTTCACCACCACACTTAACCCGTTCGACATGGCCGCTTTATATGCCGATCCCAATGATCCGTTTCCAAGAACCTCCGCGGCCGCCTTCATCAAGTCCGGCAACCCAAACACGCCCTTCTCCTCATTCACCACCACCAGATCCGCATTCCCGCTCTTGGGCACGCCCCTCTTGGAACCCGTCCCCCTCCCGCTCGAATCCGATTCTCTGCTTTCGGTTGAGCTCCCCACGTGCACTTGCACCACCTCGTCCACGCTATCTCTGCTCAGCACGCTGAAGTCGCCGTCTAGACGGCGCCTTGACCTAACCACTAAGAACAGCGCGACTGCGATGATCAAGCAGACGATGAAGAGGATGATCAACATGACGTGGCCGGAAGAATTTTTACTCTCGCCCTGCTGGTCGCACGCCTTGTCTAGAGGTTTCCCGCATAGCCCCTCGTTTCCCTTGAAGGAATTAGCCTCGAATTTCGCTAAGCTCTCTGGGATTGGACCTTCAAGGTTGTTGTTGGACATGTCCAGCGATTTGATGCTTTGCGACAGAGGTGGGATGGCTCCGGAAAATTCATTGTTCTCGAGGTGAATCTCTAGGAGCATGTCTAGCTGGGATATGGAATTGGGGATGGGCCCCGAGAATTTATTCTCAGAAAGCCAGATTTTCTTCAGTGAGTTCAAATAGGAGAAGAAATCCGAGGGAATCTCCCCTGAAAATTGGTTGGTGGATAAGTATAAAGCCTTGAGAGCACCGATTTTGTTGAACTCTGGTATAGGACCCGAGAAGGAATTGTTGACTAAGCTGACGGTTCGAAGGCCTTTAATCTCCAGCATAGCGTCAATGTCGATCTTGCCGGAAAGACCCATGTCGGAAAGGTGGAGACCGATGATGGTGTTGTTGTCGCACATGATGCCGGCCCACCGGCAGGGGGAGGAATTAGGGACCCAGGAAGACAGAGAAGCAGAATTGGTGAAAGATTGCTTGAGCTTGAGGAGGGCGTCGGTGTCGGAAGAAGAAGAGAAAGAAGGAAGAGTGAGGAGGAGGAAGAGGAAGAAAAGGGAGAGTCGAACAGCGGCCATTTCAGAGGTATAGAGGTTGGTTGTGGGCATTGAAATGTACCGCTGCTCGAAGAGATTCTACTTCTGTGAGGGTTTTGGTTGACTTGCGTTTTTTGTTTTGTTGGAATGGAAGGGGAAGCCAAAGAAAGTTGCGTCATTTTGGTGTGCTGTGTCTGGCCATGGACACCACATTGATCCTGAAGCTCCCAAAATTTGCATCGCCTTCTAAAAATAGCCTATTCCTCTCTAAGGCCATCCTTCCTCTGCTTCCGACATTCCTGGACTTGCAGAAATTTTGTAGATATGTTGTGCCATTAGCAAATGAGGAGTCTTCGCGGAGTAGCATCATGCACATTGCACAATCACCAAGAAAACAGAACGGCTCTTCCACCCTTAACGCTAATTTCGATTTGACGTGAAGGTCTGCCCGCGAAAATTAGAGTAAAATCACCCTTGATATTTATTTAACACATCCGAAAATTTGAAGCGCCAACTAAAAGAAAAAAATTTAAAAATATTAAATTATTTTTCACTAAACTCCTACATTCTCTCCTAGCATATCCTTTAATTATCTCATTGTGTAGGTTCTGGCAAAAAAAAAAAATTTATCTCATTATGTAGGAAAATAATAATCAAGATTTATTTGAATTAATTTAAACAAATTTGAATTTTAAAGTCATAAAAAATGTAATTAAATAAATTATATTACATTAATAACCAACATTAATTCATTTATTTTTCCCCATCATTTTTAATTAACAAAACTCTTTTTTGAACTTCTATGATAATTAGGGGACGTAAAACTATACTCTAATATGACCAGAAGTGATTGGATTAACTTTTTAAAAATAATTTTATAAAAACTTGATATAAATATGTAAGAGAATTTTTGTTTGTGAAAATACTTTTTAAATTTCCAAACATTTGTAAATATATCTGTCGCGATTTGAAATGGGAAGCAGCGCACATATTTTCAAATGTCAGCAAATTTTATATCCATGTAATTCTTTTTCTCATAATACAATTATGAGTGGAACATGAAACTCTGTTGATCGCAGTGTAAAGGTAAAGAATAAATAACAATTACATTCCAACTCTGAAATGTTCAAAGCCTGTCGGTGCAAATATAATGTTGTGGTTAGAATAATACAGTGTTGTCGCATACAAGGAGTTTTCAAGGAGCAAAGCATTATGCAATAGCATGCGATCGCCGAGGAAACAGATCGCCTCTTCAATCCTTGACGCTAACTTGACGTGAAAGCCTGCACGTGGAAAATTATGTTCACATCCATTCACTCACATCATTCAAGCTTTAAGCATTCAATTAAAAAAACAAATAATCATTTATGAACTCCTCTTATCTTATTTACAAGTCATTTTTAACCTATCACACCAAAACCAATAAAAATCTTGAATCCCACCAACTCTGTCTTATTAAAATTTAATAACTTTCAAATTTTGCTTTTATTTAATGTACATTGTGCTTCATGAGTATAAAATCAACACATGATAAATGACGGGTCATAATGTAACTTAAAAATAGGATGAAAAAAACTGTCATCCTACCTTATAATCAAGACGAGAGAGTATACTACAAATGAATCTATTCGTGTATCTATATACTATTTTCTTGACATATACAGGCCGAGAGACAAGACAGTGCATAGTGCGGTAATCAAATGAATTAGAATGAAAGGAGCAATAAGAACGCATTACCGAGAAAATGTTGGCATGGCCAGGGTCCGCAACATGTGCCATCAAGTTTTCAATAGGGCCTTCGCCTGTATAAATAGCTTGGAACAAGAACCCTACAAAAGCCAGCATGGCCAGTCGACCGTTCTTGATCTCCTTGGTCCTCAGCACCATCACTGGCTCCGGCGATCCTCGTCCCCACATCATCGGGTCGAACCATAATCCCCCCGGGTACCCCACGTCCGGCTTCGGATTCTTCTTGTGCGGTACCTTGGGCTCAATGTCAACACTCCCTGGGTTAATCATATCGGCCCATCTCCTGCCCTCCACCCAGCCCATCAAGCCCAATTGCACCACAAGCAACGTCGTAGGGTCAGCAAAATATTCTCGAGCACCAGCATCGTACCAGGAGAAGTTCTCAATGTATCCCATCTTTTCTAATACTTCTGGGATCAGAATTCCCGATACCCCCAGCATTGCCCATCTCGCATGCATCAATTCTGCTTGAGCGAACCATTTTAGTAACTCTGGATCCGACCCTGAGAGATTTGAAGCTTGTTAATGGCAGAAACTAATCCCTGTAAATTTCTCGCCTAATCCAGCATAATGAAACACATACCTAATCCAAGAGGGTCGAAACCGAAATCTCCAGGAAGACTGTGATTGGCATGAAAATAAGAAACTTTGATATCTCAAGAACATGTCCTAGGAATTAGGAAAACTCTGAAACTAAACGTTGTATCTCATCAGCAAGTTAGATTACCTGCCATCGAGCCACTCGGGAGGTGAACTACCGGGAAACCACAATGGCCTATCCGGAGGAAGTGGCTCACAAACGCTTGATACTCCTTTCGTGGCACCGGGGATAAATTTTCTGGGAAGGCTTGTTGCTTTTCTTCCCAGGAAGATCTTCTGGTGTATTTCTCTGTACCAAAACTAGATACGTTACAACAGAATGAGAGCGCAGAGGATGGTTTAAATGGTAGGCCCATCAAAATTTTAGGGATTGAATAAAGACCTGTTAGGAAAAGTTGACAGTGCCGTGGGGGATGTGGCTAAGGCCATGGATCATCAACCTGAAATGTGCAGAGTTTAGTAAGAACAAGCTAAGGTTCTACTTTCAGTTGGCGATGGTTTATCTGCTAACTGGGTGATGGATATTTCTTGGAACAAAGGGGAGCAAGCACAAGCCAATGGCATGTGAAGTTCGCACGTGCTTAGGATACGTGAGTATGGGTCTTTTTGTCACGACCCAGATGAGGCCCAAAAAGAAATTGCTTCTCTTTCTTTGATCTCGTTGTAAGCCCAAATATAGTTATTCCAAAAAATTGGAGGCCAGCTTGAAATTGATTTCCTCTGGGTGTTCGGCCCAAAAGATGATTGCTATCAGTTAGTATCTGACGAGGATTAGTATTGAACGATGTTTCAGAGAAATCGAATCGGTAAATAACTAATAATTTTGTCACTCAGAAAAAAAAAACTAATAATTTTGTGGCTGAATTGAGGAGTTGAGACTTTTTTGGTCAATACAATGATTAGTAGGGTGATGATATTTTAATTTTGTGTTTTGTTGGCTGATAGTGGACATATATAATTTTTAAGGAAGAGATTTGGACAATGATATTATTATTAAGACGTTAGGTAAGTATGTTAACGTTTGAGTTTGAGAGGAATTGAGCTCAATTTTGTACTTGTTCTGATAAGAACTCGCCACCAGCTCACCCACTCCATTATATATTGCTTCATGTCACCGCAATACACACGGCCTTTTTCATAAGCAGTTCAGCTATATTGTTATAAATCCTCTGAATATATATATATTTATATATATTGCATAAGAATTCGAAGCGGAAAGGCATTTTTGGTGACAATTATAATATTCATTTGTTTATATTCTCAACATAACTTTGACCTTCGCTTTCGACATCCGCAATAAAATATAGGGTATTAAATTTCTAAGGAAGACAGGACGAGTTGGCGAACAAATCATTGAGGGGAAGCTTCATTAATTAGTTCGTCCATTGACCGGTAGTTTTGGTGAAGCAAGAGCCAATGGATAGTATTTGTTAACAAAACAATATTAATGATAGTAACTGGAAATTTAAAAGTGGACGACGACTTAAACATGAAGATTTGAGAAATAAGAATACTTTTACAGGGAGATAACACGTGTAAGAAAATACTAAAAACTTAGTCATGGAGACTTCTCAACCAGAGATTCTAATGATTTGCTCGACAAGGCAGGGACTACATATATGAGTAACCTCGTTGGCTTTCTTTGTTCGAAACAGAAAAGAGAACAATGAGCAGACGCAGAATTAATCCATACATATGATCACTTACTAATTAATGTCCTCTTTCATCCCTCGCGGAAATGGCTTCTGGACCTGAGCTCATATTATCTGCTTTCCGGGACCATCAACAGCTTAATCAGAATCATTTTGACCATCTTCTTTTTTTTTTTGGGGGGGGGGGTTTGTTTTTATATTCTACTGATGTGACTCAGACACAAGTTGTGAGTTTACGCCAGCAATGAGGACTTATGAAATAAACTGACCTTAATTATTATATCTGGTACTTAATATAAGATCTTTTGATTTTTATTTTGATCATAAAATTAATCCACTTTGCGTCTCATGTTTATGTATTTTTCATAAGATAATTTTTTAGTAATAAAAGTTCTAACCAATACACTTGATTAATAAAGATATTTTAGGAAAGACGACACATATTTATTATAAATAACTAACTTAACTTATTTTCTCAATATACTCTAATTAGTCAACTAACTCTTATATTTAGGATGGGAGTTAGTAGTAGATAAGGAAAGACTGTTTGGGAGTTCACCAAAAACAAGGGACTACTTGGGATTTTAAAGTATTTATGCATGTGCTTTTTATTTGTATGCATATTTAATACACATAATAATTTGATACAGCTGATCGTGTATGGTTTATGTGTCACAAGATACATGACCAGGTAGAGGGACAGGGACTTAAGGAGCCGGTGCATTCTAAACTTACAATGACACAGCAGATCAGATGCGCCACAAGAGAGAGAGAAATAGTTGGGTAATTGTGATTGATGGAAGGAGCCAACTGGTTTCGAAAAATACCACCTCCCCTCGTTGATGTTGATATGAAAATTAGCTGAGAGATCAGATTTGATCATAAATATAAATATAAGATTTTAATACTTATAAACTGATCTGCTCTATGATATAATGCTATACAGGAGTATTTTAAAAAAATTATCTCACGTTTATTACAATTAAATATTTGAATTGATTTTCTTGAATTACTCAAATTAATAAACTAGTTTTTATATTAAATATTAGAAGGAGTAATATTCTGGGAATACAAAATATCTTGAGATTCATTTAAATCAATCAATCCGTCGTTATCTCTCTATAATCTCAATCAATAAGATAATGTATATATGATTTGAATTAAACGCCAGAAAATCTCTACCATATATTTACAGTATTGAATGAAGAGGTTAAATACTGATTTAATCTACATATATAATTATAATTTCAACATGTTTAAATTAAATATATTTGTATCATTCGGATTCGGATAATATAAATTAATTGTTCAATTTATACTATATTTAATTAGGAAAATAATTTTATTAAATATTTTGGCTCATCAAGGCGGATCTGAAATCCAACAGTATATTTCATCCTCAACAAATAAGATGGGTATGCAGAGCAGGTGAAATTGTTAATATCGATGCAGATGAATCGTAAATTTGATGTGTTTTGCCTTAAGGTGGCAAATAGGGGCAGTTGTAAGTGACAGGTCGCATATCTTTCTATAGTAGCAACGTAACATCCACTTGAAAAAAAATCATTTACCTTCTTTTTTTTGCAACAGTGAGAACTGAGAATATTATTCAACGATACAGATTTGTTTTTTTTTTTGCACAATCCCGAACTCATAAATATAACAACTTGTTATCAATTTTATTTTTCAGGTAAAAAAAAATTGTGTTTTTTTTTGTCTCGTGCTCATAAATGGTGTTGTTTTAGATTATATGTATATTTTTTGAAACTAATGATTAATGGGAAAACCATCTAGGCCACAATTATGCCAATTTTTATAATACCTGCACCCAGTAGGGAAAAAAGTAAAGTAGTGAACTAGTGATACTCAAATAATGAATTGTCCTATTAATTTGCACCCTCACATACGTTTCTCATCAATGAAAGGACTAACCCCCCGGGGGAGGTGAGGGAGATAAATCCCTTTTTTTTTTTTTCCTAGCCGGAGATAAATCTTATGCTACAGGCGTACCTTAGCATATGTTTTTTTACATGCCATTCACTAATGCGGCGACATTTATTTCTTACAATCTTGACCTGAACACCAGAACATCTTCGAGGTCAACAGAAAAAGGAGAAGGAAAAACTAAAACATAGCCATGGGAACAAAACGGTAATAATTGTCGAAAGTGTTGGGAGGGGTTGGGCGTGTGAGACTGTCAGATTATAAATTCCCAGGCCTCCTTTCGCGTTTGAGATCCGTGGTTTTGCAATTGGACCCCCTGTTGCTCCATCGCTGTCCCCAGAGCCAAATTCAGTTCCAGTTTCTTAAACGAAGTGTCCATCTTCAGCAACCTCATATCGTAAGACACAGCTTGCCTTTCAATTTACTCCACCGCATATTTTCAAAACGGATCTCCTGCACCGCTGAGACTGCTCAGTACTAACAAGGGCGTTTGAATCACTCGCGAAATCTTCCACCTTTACCACTATTTCACACCATCTTCGGTCAAAATTTTCCCTGGGATGCTCGCTCCTCTTTGAAAACGCTATACCCAAGAAAGGAATCGATGTTCACTTGCAGCAGGCAAAGGCTTTTTCCGGATACCTACCCCGTTAGCTGTTAAAACCAAGTTGATTCCTACCCGTTTTCGTACTTGAATGATGGTGGAGACCTTATCACTTGGGCGGTTCCACCACCAGAGGCTCGATTTTAAGCGCTGGATCCCGGCATTCTTGACCTCGCACAAGACCCTTTTCACTTTTCTTTGGATCGTTGCATTTGCATCTGTTTTTCTGTGGCAGAGGAACATAGTCGATGGCTTCTTTATATTCGGTCGGGTCCCAGTTAGGCCAATGCCGAAGCTTCGACCCATAGCCTTCAACTTGACGGATTTTGGAGCGGTGGGTGATGGGGTTACTGTAAACACTGAGGCTTTTGAGAGAGCTGTTTCTGCTATCTCTAAGTTCGGGAAGCGAGGGGGAGGGCAGCTAAATGTGCCACCAGGTCGTTGGCTAACGGCACCATTCAATCTTACCAGTCATATGACTCTATTCCTGGCTGAAGATGCTGTCATACTTGGTATTCAGGTGGGTTAATCTGCGATATTACTGTTTCGATAAGATTCTTCGCTGCTAATTAAAGTTCTGCATTTCGTTCGAATCGTGAGGTTTTAAATTTAGTAATCACGCAACTATAACAATTCTTTTCTTGTAAGTTAACGATCAAGGATAAGTTGTATAAATAAGAAGAAAAAGTAAAGGAAATTTCAAGAACTAGTTGTTGGAGAAACTATAAATTTTCAGAATTTAGACAATATTTTTAGTCGTTTCGTATGCTATGATCTTCTGTAATTGGAAATTTCATATCTGTGTTTTTGTTATTTTTGACCGGGAACTTAGATCATTTTCTTCTTTAATTACAAGGTCAGATTCCTTCTTATATATAAATATCAAACTGAGCTAAAAACTTCTTCATAATGCATTGGAAAGTGATACAAGATTTAAGCTCATGGTGATTATTGATTAGGTGTGTGATAAGCTTAAAATTGTTTTGATATGTGATTTGATTGTTGATAGAGCAAGATGCCACTGTGCAATTTATGTAACTGATCCTACCCGGTGGAATAAGGTTTTGTTGTTGTTGTTGTAGTAGTAGTAGTATTTGATCTATGGTAAAATAGTACAATTCTGACATAATACATTGCCCATCTCGATACATTTACATTGATGAAGTATTCCTTTCAAATTGTCTATGCGATAACTTTCTTGTATTTGCTTGTTTGTGGAACAAATTTTC